ATTCTCTTTAATTTAGAATGGGACATTATTCACTAAAAAATATTTAGTCTCAGATATTCTAGTTGACACTATATTTCTTGTTGACCATTAAGGAACTCTATAGCTTGAAGTGGAAAAGCTATTGATAAATCTTCTTTGATGCAAAATTTGAGTTCTAAATTGTATTTTGTAAATCTAATTCTCGTTGCTTCTCCTAAGCTATAGATAAGATTGTTGCTTTTGTTATACTTGTTTGTTTTGTGGATAGGAGCGGAGCTCCTTTCTATTGTTGACGTTGTTAAACTCTATTGCGGAAGTTTCAAGAGGTCCTATTTATAAGAATGATTTTGCCAAAATTTCTACTAAAATTTCAACGTGCATATTGGTATATTGATGTAAAAAATAATAAAATAAAAAAAATATTGAAGGGTCCTATATCTATTACATATATGTGTATGATTTGAAAACTTGAAATTTCTAGAGTAAAGATTTAAGGGATGTCAGTTCTAATGCATATCCTTTGCCAGTCACATTCATATTTTGGGGCATGGCAATATTATTTTATAATGGATTGTTTGTCCATGCTCGATTATTTATCACCATGGACTGTGTGTCCATACTTAGTTATTTATCTTTGTGAATTTTGCATCCATGTTTGTTAATCATTTTGATTAAGTTCTATTAAAAAATAAAATTTGAAACTTATTTTTCTTAGATTTTATCTTGTAAAGAAAACTGTTCTTTTTACCATTTGTGGATTTTTATTTAGCTTCATAATTCTTTTGTGTTTAAAGCATATGTTGAAGTTTAAAAGTAGAACTTGAATTGGGACAGTATTCATGGGATGGTATTTAGCTTTGGTGAAATTATTTTGATGAATTATTTTGACTAGCTAGCTTTGGTTACCCAATAAATGTAAGTATGAACATTAGTTATAAAATTTTATATTGGCAAGCATTAAATTCATACTCAAAATGATCCATGCAAGTTTGACATTAATAATGAAAAATTATATTTTAGAAATGATTATTTTTCTTGCATGTCTAAAATATGATTTTTAGATGACTATAAGCAAAATATTATTGTTAATGGCAATGCATTAGTCTTTAGTACACTATGGTTATTAACTAGCTAGATTTATTTCATGAGCTCTGTTTTCATGTTTTTTATTTGTAAGTCTCATATCTACATCTGTTTCATCATTTCAATCACGTTTGATTGGTTACTCTCGTGAATTATATATCTATATTTGTTTCATGGTTTCGACCACATCTAATTTATTACTTCATAAACTTTGGGTTCATATCTAATACTTGCTCTGTAAAGTCCTCACAATATTAACTTTTAATGGAATTATGAAATATATATATATATATATATATGTATCATTGATTTTTTATTTATTAGTAAATTTTTTTATTTTAATTATTTATTTAATCTATTTGACCTCTGAAGACTGTAACACCTTCAAATTTACAAAACCAATTTTTGCAAATTATTAATTCAATAAATTATTTTTTTATTGAACCCTTATCATACCCTTATCATGGTAGAAAAATTTTTACCATGATACATCCAAGACAATATACCACAGGTCTTAAAATATCTCAAAAAGCAATTAGAACCATGAGGGACAGACATGATCCTCATAGCATGTTATTCAAATCAGGTCATGAATCAAAAGGGACAGACATAATCCTCTTGAACATATAAATGCATTTAATAAAAGGATTAGAGTTTACATGCTCTACAAAGAAGATATGTCCTAAATTGGCACAAGATATATTGTATAACCTAAAATAAGAGGCAACGTAAAAGATGATGTCTCATACATCATAATTACACCTCTGGTGCTTTCTCGGCCGGACTCGCTCCTATAAAAATATTAACCACGACGAATGAGACTTAAAAGTCCCAGTAACCAAAAATTAATATGTAATGATGCATGTGGATGTAACTAATCATGTGATTGTTAAGTGGGCATACAAAACATTTAATCGAACAATATTTTCAAACAAATCAAACAAGTATTTAATTACATGATTGCACTTTATATCCTCCTTTCGCCATGCTCGGACGCCAAATCACCCGGCCAAAGGTGAGTTGAACCAAGCGACACGTCACTCATTGGGTCCAATGAGGGCTTACCACGTGGTAATAATTAACCGAACAGAAATTTCCATTAACACCATATATTAAAATACCCTGACAAGTCATGCATTATTCAAATATCCAAACAGGAATATATCCAACAATAATATCTCATCATGATAAACAAAATAAATTTTTGACCCACTTGGCAATAATTTTAAATAAGTATATAACAGTATTTATTTTCAATAATTCATAATTTTTTCAAACAATAAGACAACACATAACCATTCACAAACACACTCATCACAACACATTAATAATGGTTACCTTGTGTCTTGAATACAAGTTCCCCTTCACAACTCCTTTTTCACCACTATCTTTGTCAATATAATCTACATAATTATTTCACAATACTATATGTTAATTTTACATTAAAATAAATAACTCTAATTTAAAGAGTTAGAAAGTCTAGATCTATAATCTATATTAACATTAATTTAAAATTTATGCCTCATTTAACTTCTCAAATTCTTTTCTAAAATTCTCATACCCTAATAAACTATTTTTTTATCCTTAAATCACTTCTAGTATCACAATTTCATCCTTCTATTTTTAAAAATTCGTCCAAAAATAAATTAAAATTTTTAAAATTATCCTGAAGTCTCAAATCACCTTTCTATAACCTCAAAAATACCTATTTATACTTAAATAAATATTTTCTAATCAGAAGTTCATCCCTACATCTCAGATTCCACATAAATTCAACCATATAGATCTAGATTTTAACTCAAAAATTCTTAAACATGAGTTTAAACCTCAAGAAAATATTCTATAATATTTATTATATTTCTAAGAGTTTAACCTATATTTTTAATCCATCATATCATCAGATTAACTATCCTATAGAAAAATCTTAATCAGAATATTTACTCTATCCTACAAAATAATTATATCACTAGAAAGCTAATATTATTTAGAAAATAACTATAAAATTAATTTTGTAATTAAATAAATTTTTTAAATGTTAATCTAAACAGGAAAGTTAGAACATACCTGAAGAAAAAGAAAATAATCCCCCCTTGTGAGAAAACGCCGAGCAATGTGAGAGAAAGAGAGAAAAATAATATAAAAATGAGATTGTGGGTCTCAAAATTATATTAAAAAAAATATAGGTTTGAATTTAATTATTCAAACCTTTGGGCCATGAGTTGCAATTTCCTCTAAATTGCATCTTAGCCTCTCATGCTTCCTAATGCACACACCCCCTCCTTTTTATACATGAAGGCACCTCTTCTCTTTCCTCATCTAACCAATGTGGGACTTAGAAACAACAACCTTCCACCTCCTTTTTTTTGTTCTTTCTACCTTCTCTTTTTTTTAACACACACATAAAAAAAATTATTTATGTATTATATCTTAACTAAATATTGCTTATGTTGTTTTAAAATTAAATTTTTAAATTCATAATTAAATACCTAACCATAATATTATTTCTAAATAATCTCAAATAATATAAATTTCTATTATTATTATTTTTTTTTTTTCTCAAACCTAAATTCTACAATTTTTTTATTATATAAAAATCAGGGTGTTACAAAGACCAAGTAGTAAAGTTGCTTTGTTATTGTATATCTAAGGGTCAGTGATTTTGTTGTTGTATGTAACGTTTAATTCGAAATTTAATTATTTTATTAGATTAAAGTGTTTCTTATTTATTTAATTTCAAATTCAAAATCTAATGTTCCTTGAATGCTATAAATTTTCTATAGTGGTCCTTGATTATCTTGATATTTTTTCTTGTTATTATTAAATCCTGTTCCTCCTTGCTAACTCAATCTCAATCAAAAGACAGATTCCTCATGCCATTATCAATAATGTCACATACTCTTACCTTTTTCAAATCATTGGTTAGAACTCTACAGCTCAAATCGTAGCCTTTGGCATCAGGAATCCAATTATCTTCAAAAACTCTAACCTTCACACCTGAAGAATTCTTCCAGCATAAGTTCTTCGTCAGCAAGTCTCTCCCCTCGAAAACGCTTGACCACCCTCAAGAAGCATTTGGATGGCATATTTGACATTAAGACTTAAGGGTAAAGCTATTAATTTTAATTAAATAGGGGTAATTTAGGATTTCTATAGATTTTCTTTTTATAAAAAAAATCAGACTCTTAACTAATTTTAACCAATGTCCTTAATCTACATGATCTGGTTAAAAATATTTTATAAATAGAACCAAGAAGAGTATTTGCTATTTGTGCTTTAATTTGTTAAAAATGTTACATAAGCCAACTACCCTCTTGCTATTTGCTCTTGTAAATTCGTGACCATGTTCAGATAGACAAGGCAACTTCTAGCGGACGACAATTCATTAATGCCAAGATTCCTATCTCTCTCTCTCTCTCTCAATTTTTTTTTTTTTTGCAGTTTTCTTTTCTAATCATTAGATCATTAATTGGATGATTTAGGTTTGATCTCATGTAAAATTATTATAGTAAATATTAAACTATAAAAATATAAGATAATCAAATCTAAATAACTAAAATTTAATTTGAAGAGTTTACAAGTGCAATATATCAAATTTGAAGTGTCCAAATATTAATCTTGTGATTAGAAATTTGGAAAAGGAAAGGAAGATGATAGATGTAAATATAATAGTCCTGATAAATAAGATAACAGTAAATATATAATAATTTATTTAAATTTATTCTATTTATGTTTGAAATAATTATTGCAAGGAAGAGTGTTGCACTAATGATTTGTTCATTAGGTTTGAAGCTCAAATCTGAAAGAGGCAGAAACGGCGTTTTGCTTTTTTCCCCCCCCCCCCCCCATTTGCTTTGTAAGATTACCGAATTGCCCCCTTCAAATCTGATAAAAAATTTGTTTTTTCTCCCCTCATCTTCGATTTCTCCTGAGCCGTCAAAAGAGGAGTTGTGATTTTCAGTCAATCCTTCGTCCTTACTCTGCAACTTCGTCTTTCTCCTTTTCGTTCTCACCAACGCCAGTGTGTCTGTCGTCGCTCCTTCTGCCACTGATCAACCAACGCGTGGTCTCTTTTCCTTCCCTGTTTCTGATCGACGCAGCTTTCTTCCTTCACCGTTCGTGTAGCTATGTGGGTAAGTTAGGATTGCTTTCTTTCTCTCGCTCTTTTTGTCTAGCACCGGTCTGCTCAGCTCTTCTCCATTCTCAACAGCAGTTCCTCTTCATTCCTGTGCAGACACGGTGTCTTTTTCCCCCTCCTCCCCTGTTGTGTGTCGTGCCAGAATCCTCTCCTCTGTACAGCCATAAACTTCGACTCCTCCTTCCCTTTTCTTCATCATTCATGCTTTAAGGTGAGGAAGCCTCAAGTCTTAATTTTCTCTTGCTCTGCGTATATGTGACTTGATGATTGAAGTTGCAAAGATTTGTCTCCTCCATTGTTGCTGTCCGTGTGGCCATATGGGGGTGTATGGGAGAAGGAAGCTTGATTTAAATTGAAATTTGTTGTTGCAGAAGGAAGCAGATGATGGTGCGGAGTTGAGTTTTTAACTGTAAATGATTGGATTATTGGTATTGTAAGGTTTCAAGGAAGCTAAAATTTAAGAGGAAATGTTAACATTAGCTTGATAATTGATGCCCATGAAGTGTTCAATAAAATGTTTAGGACAATTTTATCTGATTTTGCATTTTTGACCTCTCATTGGTCCTTGTGAGAAGTATGTTAATATGAAAGTTATTGATTTATGAATTAACTTGTAGATTGCAAAGGAATTTAATTTTGAATTTATATAACTATTTAAATTCTTGGGATTTGTATGGTTATTAATAACTTGTTAGATATTGTAATTGAATGATTAGAAATAATGCACTTGTGGTATTTAATTTGTGCAAAGCCTAAGAAAATTTTGTCTTAAGTAAATAGATTGGCATGACTGAAGCAATATAAAGGAGATTTGTGATATGAATGATAATACTTAGACTAATTCTAAATGCATGAATTTTGGGTTTTGGAATATTAAATAATGGTGGTTGATTGGGATTGAGTTAAAAAATTAAAAATCCATTAAAATTGTATTTTTTCATATCCTTGTAGGGTGTGTCAAAGAACAGGATCCTAATAAAAATTAAAGGAAGAAAGTCTTTAGAAACTAGAAGTTCGACATGTAAGTGAGTATCATCCTAATTAATTTATAATATTAGTCTTTTACTAAAATATTTCGTTTTTATGTAGATTAGTTTTAATTACTATGATAATTTGGGTATGTTGTTAATTAAATTATTAAGTTAAGGTATAATTTTACTCCTGAACTTTCCTCGAGAAGCAATTTTACCTCTATGCTCATAAGTGAGGCAATTTTATGCTTGAATTTTTTTTAAGGAGCAAAAACCCTTTTTACAGGGTTCCTAGTGTTCCTTGAAAAAATAATTTAGGGATAAAATTATCTTTTTTTTATCGGTACATGGGTAAAATTACTTTTCAAGACAAAGTTCTAGGATAAATTATACTTTAACCCTAAATTATGTTATTATGAGAAAATATAAAATTGTTGCAAAGAATAGTTAAGAGGTGACATGTGCATGTATTTTACCTCATGAGTTATATTTTAATATTCACAAAATTATTTTTATTAATGTTGCTTATCGTAAGTGCACAGGTCGTAGCAAGTAATATAATGAAATAAAGTATCGTTTCCTCGAGGATTTGCTCAAAAAATATGATCAAACAAAAGATTAAGTAACTTCAACCAAGTTGAGCCAAACATAATTAGATGAAAAATAATTTTGCAAACTAAAACATTAGAAAATAAAGAAAAGCAATGATTCACACACTTCAAATACAAATTGAGACTTAGGATTATTTATCTCCCTTACATTTCATAACACCAAAATTACCTCCCTCATAAATGCTTTAATGAAAATAAGTGCTAACCTAGAGTTCTAAAAATACTCGGACAAGCTCTCTTAAGTCATGAACAAGTGTTTAATTAAATTAATTGCCCAATCTTTTGTTACAATTAATAAAATTTAATTTTAAACACGAACCTTAATGTGGCCACACAGGCTAGCAATTATATCTATAATATCCTAGGAATTTTAAGTATAAGTATAATATTTTGTTTTAAATGTATTTTAGTAATTTTGGAGTAAATATACCAAGAAACAAGAGCTGGCTTGGTGGAGATAGTGTAGCCATTTAATTAAGAGGTCCAAAGTTTGAACTGCAGGGAGCTCAAGAGCAGAGATTTTATTTTTTGCTTTAGCTCTTCCTAAAATTACCATTATGCCCTTCTTTAACTCTAAATATATGTCTTCCTCCACTGCTTTAATTTGTCCAGAATTGTGTGTGAGTGAGAGAGCTCTGATTTTCTACCCTATTGTACTTCATCTCTTCCTTCCATTTCTAGTGGTCACTGGTGAAGGTGGAGGCTCGCTGCAACTGTTCACACCTAAAGCTCCGTCGTGCTTTCTATCTCTATTTGTCTCCTTCATTTTTGTTCAGTCCTCGTCGTTCACACATGCATTGCTAATAGGTGTGAGAATCAAGTCGCTGGCATTAAAAACGTGTGCTGGGGTCGCCAACTACTAGAAGCTCAGATCATGAATCTATGGTCCTTCAATTTGCCATCGATCTCTATATTTTTTTTATTGTTCGTGCTGTTGAATGTTTCTTCTTTCTCCTCCATCCTTCCTATTCGTCAATGATTAACAAGTGAAGAGCTAATTTGATGCTATTGGAAGGCTGATTCGTGGGTAACAGGTTAATTTAATGCTATTATCTTCTTTCCCTGTTCAGTTGTGGTTTCATTTTTTTTCCTCCCTATTGTGTTATGTTAGTTCAGCTAAAGTGAGCAACTTTGACCTTTTTTTTCCCCTTTGGATAGAGCTATAAGTGTGTGATGTTATAGAGCTGAAATTGCAATTTTCCTTTGTTTTATTGATGATCGTGACTGTACGTGTGTTTGAATATGAAGGGGAAGCTTGAGCTAAATAAAAAAAATTTGATGATGTAGATTTGAATTTTGATTGAGTTTAATTTGGTTATGGCTATAATATTGTCATTTTGAAATCTTTGGAAGTGAAATTAGAAAGGAAGAGGCTGGTACTTGTTTAAGAGGTAATGCCTATATGGTGTCTAATAAAATGCCTTAGGAGAGTTTTGCTTGAAATTGCAATTATTAAAGTCTCATTAAATTTTTTGGAAGACATAATTGGCTGGGATAGTGTTATCTATGAATTTAGCTCAAAAATTTGGAAAAGGAAATACTTGAATAGGAATTTTTCTATAACTTTATGGGATCTCACAAGAAACATGAGTTGGCTTGGGGTGTTGCTCATTTGTGAACTTGAATTAAATATTATAAAGAAATTTATTTATGTTATTGAGAGATGAAGTGAATTCTTGAGAATGTTATGGTTATTAATTTCTAAAGTATACTATTGCCTTATGATTTAATTTTGGGATTGACTTAGAAGGGGAAATAAATCTTTATAATTTAAAGGAATTTAATTAAATTGTATTATTTTATATTTTTTATAGGAGGTGTGGAAGAAAACGATTTTGATAGGAACTAAAGGGAATTTTGCATTTTGGGATTTTCAGGTGAGTGGATAACGTCTCAAATAATTTATTAGCAAAGTTTCTTTCCATCAAAGATATTGATTTTAACAATTCACAATTTTATCTATTTATATATGTGTGTATATGTATATATTTCATAAGCATTGATTATTTCTGTTGATTGAATAACTTTATTTTCCGAAGTCATGTTATGTGCTTACAACATTGATCAAATTTTTTTTCACAAGTTCTAGTAATCCTTTACTTGACAAGGACAATCATGAAAATTCGTAAAAGAGTTTGTAAGTTTTTACATTGAAAAGAACTGGTGTTTACTTAATTCATGCGAGTCTGATATGGAGAAAAGAAAATTTTAATTTGATAATGATTATTTTTCTCACATGTTTGAAAATTGATTTTCAAAGGAACTTTAGATAAAATACTGGTTGCTGACGGTAGTTTTGTTAGCCCTTGGTTGCCATAGTCAATTACTAGCTAGTTTAATTTTCGTGAGCTCTGTTCTCATGTCTGTTATTCGTGGGTATCATACTTGCATCTGTTTTGTGGCTATGACCACATCTGATTAGTTACCCTTGAGGATTATATTTCCATGTCTGTTTCGTGGCTTTAGCCACGTCTAGTTACTTATCCTAATGGACTGTGTTCCACGTTTGTTAATTGTTCTAAAAAGTCCCTATAAACATGAATTTGATTATTTAATGATTTTATATTCCAATGGTTTTAATTAGTAATCTTTATAATTATCCATTTTGTTTATTTGCTTCTTTGAAATCAAGTGATAATATTTGATAGGATAATTTAATGATTTAAGATTTCTTTAAGGTTACATAGAATCCTTTCATTCCAAATTTATTTAATTTTCATGAAAATCGTTGTGTTTTTACTTTCTCTTTTTCATGTTTAATTAATTAATTATTTTTGGGACGTTATTCACCAGAAATAATTTTGATCTCAGATAGTGTAGCTGACGCTGAACCACCAATTGGACATTGAAGAGTTTATGATTAACTAGAAGTAGAGAAGCTAATGATTTAACTTTCTCTTAATGTAAAGTTTTAATTATAAAATTTTATTTTGTAAACTTATTGTTAGGTGCTCCATATAGATTGTGATTAGGTTGTTTATGTTGTTATATATTTTGTCTACTGGCTGGAAGGAGCTCTGTTCCTGATTGACTTGATGTTTTTGATAGAAACATTGTATTATAGAATTTTAGGAGATCTTATTTATAGAAAAAGTTCTGTCAAAATTTCTACAAAAATACTGAAAATTTTATTATAGGAGAACATTAGTAAAGGTACGAATTTCAAGTCTAATTATGTTTTTATAAATAAATATTAAATATTAGATTAAGATTTCCTTTACCACGACTTAAGGGATGTATGATTATGTATACATCCCTTGCCAGTCACGTCTAATTTTTGAGATGTGACAATATCTTTATCTTACTAATAAAACTCTCCACTCAACATATAAATATCAAGTTTTTGCACTATTTTACTCAACTTCTATACTCAACCTAGCCCTCTCAAGCATCAATTGAGTAAACACAATATCTAAATGGTGGCCAATCACTTAGAAGCATTAAGAAAAGTGTAAAATAAACACATATATATATCATTAATTACAAAAAGAGAGGAGGAATTTAATGTTAATCCATACAAAGGTTCAAAATAATTCTAGAGCAAAGAGTTTAGTTACTCATAAGTATCAAAAAGCTACAAATACACAAAATATTAACAGCCATTATAACATTACAAGAAGGAAAGGGAAGAGGAATAAAAAAACTAAAGAAAATGAGCTCCAAATGTCTTCAAAAGTCCATTTCCTTGCTTCAAGCACTTCTAATACCTAAACCCTAGTACACCCAAGCTCTAAATGCGTCTAAAAGTGAGAAGAATGGCTCATGGGTTGAGCTCTCTGAATATAAATGTCCTACCTAATCAATTTCAGATTTAATAAAATGCATCATTTTTCTGATAGTGGTAAAAGTTGTGAATGAAAGTCACGACTATAGGACAACTTTGGCAGTTTTACATTGTTTTTGCAGCTAATGAAAATTATTCACTTTGTGCTTGATTTCTTCATCCAAAA